CCCTCCCTCCCTCCCTCCTGACCTTCCGACCTCCCACCATTTCTCTGTACCTGTCGCCAAAATTTGGTACAAGTTGGCCATTAGTGCCTTTCGAAGGTATAATCCAATAGTATAAGCATATATACTTTTGAAATAAAAGAAATCTAAGGTACGGGATTTCTAGTGATACACTATCTGCTATTTAGGATTATTACGATCAATTCGGAAATTATCCTCGCGAATGAGTCACTTTTACCTCGTGAAAAGCAAAATTGTAATTATCTTCTGTTTTGGAAAGTTCTAAAACAATTGTACTGTTATAAAATAAATGAACACTATCTTTATGAATTAATTAACAAATATTTATGAACACATTACGCACGGCGCTTTGCGCGCTCAAAGCGCTTCCAAAGACCATACATTTTTGTACGCCTCAAAAGATTTGGCTTGGCAAGCAATACGTTGCACATATATGCACATTTTTAATTTAAAATTGGTAATATATTCACATAAAGTATTCATAGATATTACTATATATTTTATACATCGATTTATTATATAAGTTTTTTTTACATTTTAACTAATATTTATTTCATAAACTTGAATAATGCTTTAGAGTGTGATATCTGGCAAAGCATACTCCTTTTTGCAATGGTGTTTGGCACCAGATTGAAAATGTAAATGATTTTTAAAAAGCTGTTTACGTACAAATTTGCACATATACTTAGAAATAACAAAATGTACAACAATAAAACAGTTTATAAAGTATGGTAAACGATTGTTAAAGAGCTACAGATGTACTACTAATTATAATTGTAATTAACAGTGAACATATATGTATATAAATCGAATTTTTAAGACATCTAATTTTATTGCAAGTGAAAGTGAATACAAATATGCGCACTAAAGAATAAAACGAGCAGACCAAACAAGTAAAGTAGTAAGTAGTGTTTGCAAATATATCCAATTGTAGTACCCACAGGGGGTTAGAGGTTGTATACAATGTATATACATATACTACTTATTACTACTTACTTTACTTATTTGATCTGTTCGCTTTATTCTTTGGTGCGCATAATCGTATTCACTTTCACTTGCAATAAAATCAGATGTCCTAAGAAATCGACTTCCTTTTTACTTCTTTAATCAATAGTACAACTATTCCTATAATATATTTCCAAATTTACAATGTAATTGTAAATTTAAGAAATGTTAAGAGTCCCACGGCATGTTTATTGCGTGCAAGTATGGAAGCACGAGTCGTCTTCGCACACTTTCAACACATTTGTTTCAAAACCACATTTTCAAATTGCGTGGTAAGGTATCTTAAAAACTAGATTACCAATAAACTTTAAATTTATGGTATATATACTATAATATACGTACCTGTAGATTTACCTATAAAATAAACAAAATGCGTAATTTAAACAACTTTTTCATACATAAATAGATGTAAAATTTTCGCAAAGATATCGATTCTTTGTTTAAAGTGGCTTCGTTTTAGCAATTTCAAAGTTTTTGATGTTTTCAAAGGTTTATCGGTAAACTACGTTTGTATGAAGGAAGAAAATTTGTTGTATTTCCCAATATACCCACGTTTATAACATTTTACACCAGGATATCCCCATCCTTTACAGTATATTACAAAATAAACTTAACTTTACACCCTAGATAAAAATGTAAATGTTTTTGGTATATATTAACTCGTATAGCGTATATTACATATTAAAATCTATAGCGTACAGGATGTATGAAAACTAATTGTCACGGCCATTACAGTGTAATTCTATAGTTTTGGATCGGTGAAGATCTTAAAAAAAAGAAAAAGAAAAAAAAGAAAAATAGCTGAAAAATTATCCCCTACATAATTTTCAAGGTCGCCTTTTCTTTTTCTTCCATCGTATCGTATTTTATTCGCCATAAGGAAAATGTTTAAAAGGAACCATAGGTCGAAAATGAACCATTTTCTCAAAAAACGAGCCGTAAATATTTCGACTTATCGCATGGAGGCACATTATAGGATCGCTCGATACATATTCTCAAAGCGGATTAGTTGACACATATGTATATTGAGCATGCAATGTCTTGTTTCATCCTTATGATTCTCTTTTATGATATCTCTTTTAATGCATCGTATTTTGCTTAGTTCGATGGGAATCTTATGGTGTTACTATAACGAAAGCAGTGATCGTTCTATGTCCGTTCTTATGGTTTGCTACTTTCATATATTTCTATTTTCTCTTGGCATATGTAGTTTCCTTCATCTCTACTATTTCTAATGAAACCTTGTAGTGTTTTTTGCTGGCTTGTGTGCGCAATTTCATCCTGTTTGACTGCAGTGGCCAGATATAATTCGGAATGTTTCCGCTTAACCTTATTGCTAACTTTGTGTTTGTTTCGCATTTGCTTTAGTTCAGAGTTCCCTAATACGTTGAAGAAGTTCTTTCCTCTTTCATGTACTTACTCCTGTCCTCATCTATATGTTTCATGTGTTAATGGCTTTTTGCACCTTGCTCGCTTGCTTTCTCACGTGTTTCTTGAAGGTGTTGCCAGATGGAAACCAAACTCCCAGATATGTATAACTGTAGGATTATTGGAAAGAAGAAGAAAATGTGGAACTCATTTAGTTTAAACCAATAAAAGAATATATATTTTATATAGAAAGTGATGTTGCGGTAAGGCCTGGTGTGACGTCTCACGGACGTGTTGCATACTCGCGTCCACCTGCGGATATGATACGCGCACGGAGACATTATGTATGCATGCGTGCGCAGATGAACCGATAATATAAAGAATGTATGTATAAGTATAATGTGTAAGTATAATGTATGATAACATAAAGAATGTAACCAATAACTAAAAGATAACAAAGACATGAAAGTATGAAATCAGTAAAGGTATGTGCGGATATGGATGTAATGTACGCAGGCCGCGTCCCGCGGTTTCTTCGGGTGACGTCAGGGGTGGTGATGCAGGGCTTGCTCGGTAATAATGTTTATGACCTTCCGGTCTTAATGCTCGGCGTTATAAATTCCTTACTCTATTGCTCGGGGTGTAACGGTCTTATCCTTTTGCTCGCTTATCCTTTTACTCGCTTATAATTGTATGTGCACTCGGCGTTTACAAGGTTTTTATTCTATTGTTCGTTTATGTTCCATTATATCCATATCCGCGCATACCTTTACTGATTTCATACTTTCATGCCTTTATTATCTTTTAGTTATTGGTTACATTCTTTATGTTATCATACATTATACTTACACATTATACTTATACTTATACATACATTCTTTATGTTATCGGTTCATCCGCGCACACATACATACATAATGTCTCCGTGCACGTATCATGTTCGCAGGTGGCTGCGAGTATGCAACACTGGCAAGGAACTGAATTATCGCGTTCCTAGCACCGCTGAAAAAGGAAACAATAGGCAAATGACATTGCCGATCATGCTCCATGACGCAATCCCCGCCAGGCCGATGCCGGCCCCGGCTACATATTAGGACACACTCATCGCCGTTGCACTTAAATAATAACAATTTCCAATATTAAACCCGTTGGTGGTCCGCGCTGCATTCGCAATTTCGTCCTAGCCGGCCCGCACAGATTTCGCCAATCGCTCATCTGCTTGATACTGTTTACTTTGAAAAACATTTTTGAGCTTACTAACGCAACATACTTATAAATGGGTGGATGTATAAAATAAAAGTTTAACATCTTGTAAACGCTATTTATTAATGTTCACACCTGTTATGTCAATTTCGACTTTGAAAATACTTTTTAACTGCATTATAAATTTCAACTGTACGCGATGGTGGGTTTGAAACTATTAAAACTATGCTCTTGCTTTCAATCTTCTGGAAAGGAAAGTTAGAGAAAGGGCCGACGGGGCAACCCTGTCCAACGCCTTTAAATGACCTAATGAATTCTGTAAAGAACGTAAATGTACACATCGCGTTCTCTATACCTTTTTGTATATCTCCTTGATTATTTGTATCACTCTATGTAGTGCACCTTGGGTCTACACCTTTGTTTCCTAGTAAAATCTCTCTATTCATGAAATTAAAGACCGCATACGGCTTTCCTTTGCTTCTCCTCCATTTGTAATTTGCTGGTGCATTTAATGTAAAGACCATGGTCACTCGTTGCTTCGAAGGCCTGCCTAACTTTCACTTAATATTTTATGTTGTTTTAGCCAATTCTTTAATCTTTTACATAGTAATGTATATTTGCTAATATCTTGTAGCCTATATTTGATAATGATGTTCCTTTGTGGTTTGTCATTTCGTCTTTGTTCCGCAGTGAATAGATAATTTTTTCATTTCTCTGGTATCTTTTCTCTCGTTCATATGGCTAGTGTTAATCTGTCCCTGAGAACTTATGCAAGTTCTCCAAATTATATGACTTTTCATCTGGCTCAATATCCTCCTCCTTTATCATAATCACTAATCTCCGTTACAGATTTCACATATTTTAAGATAACAATCTGCTATATTTCTTTCTTTCGTAGCACCCTTTTAAATTGTTCTGTTTTTGCTGGACAACTCTTTTTTCCTTTTAGCTCTTATGTCCTTTGTCTCTTTCCACGTAGCCGACGGTTGCCTGGTCTCGCGTGTATCTTGCATTCGTATATACGCGTTCAAGGTTTGGTTGGGACGCGTACATATAAGAGCTTTATTTCATTTCTATCGATTTATTCATTTTTTGATTATTGCTAATATTGACATAGTGAAAGATGGTAGGGAATAAAAAATAATATATTTTTTCTATTTGTAATAAGTTCTCTTCGAAAATCCTCAAATTATGATATTCGCAATTTCCTATTAAGGACTCTAGACTAAATTTACTATACCATACTCGGAAAGAACTGTGGAAGATATCTTCTAAAGAGTAGCTTTGCTAAGGTGAAAGTGATAAATTTGTATTAGAGAAATTTTTTTTGTCCGTACGACTAGACGTTACAAAAGAAATAGTGAACAGTACTAAAATACTACTAATTATATAATATAATACAATATGTGGGGATCTTTGATGAATAATGTCTTCATTGTATTGATGGTTTCTACGGTGCATCCATTTGGTACCCTCTTGGTTGTTGTGCTATGATAGGGTATCAGCTAGAAGGACGAAAGGAAAAGGAACGGATGCGTTTCGTCTCGGGCCTGCTAGTGGACTCGTCAGTAAGGCTTTCTAGCAAGCCCTGCCTTAGATGGGGATACTTGAAGTCGAAATCCATTTATTGACGAGGATGAGAACGTTGCTCGCTATAAATAATATAATAAAAGAACTGATAATAGTATAATGTAATATATATCTTGCGTCCCGAACACTGCAACTCGCACGGTGGGAATTTCACAGGGATGTAAGACCCGTTTACACGGATGCGACAATGTTGCTGGGATGCGGCCTAGTCTAAATTAATAGAGTTAGACCCAGTTAGGGTTGAACTAAAGAGTTCGGATGTGTTACTGCCTTTCGCGCTGAGTTGATCGTCGTGGTTCTTGACTGATAGTCCGTCCGGTCGTGATACTTGTCCTGTTTTCGTCAGATTTTTAGGAGAACTCTCTTGTGACTGCTGTCTCGGTGGTTTTATAAGTTTTGTAGGTCTACTGATTGGTTGGTGTGAAATGTAAAAAGGTGGGTGTGGGTCATCCTACTGCTTGTGAATAATATTGTGAATAATATTGGGGGTGTGCGATGATCTCGACGTCTTTCTGTGATGGTGGATGTTTAAATAATTTGGGTCCTTATGCCTATCGTCTTAAGAGTAATATATTGGTCCTTGCTAAGGTTTACCCAAGTGGTGACTACGTGATGACGAGTGTATACAAATCAAAGAACGCTGGCAATAAGGACATAAATAGTCCTCCATTTGACTAGAGACGTTCGGTCCTGGGGTCGCAACAATATGTAAGAAACTAAAATAGTGCACTAAAGAATTCCCGTCTATTTGTTATGACTGCGTCTTTCACACTGGCTCACGTGTGAAATGCTTCGTCGCTAGCGGCCGATTCGACTTTGTTTTCCTTAGCCGGTCAGTGTGAGTCACATTTACACGCGCTTAAATTTCAAACGGGTTACCGCAGGCCCGGCCATGTGATTAAATCTTGCCCTTGCATTTTTGGTACTCCAATCTGTTGGTACTCTGGAATATTGCTGTTACAGTGATGATACGGGATATTTATAAATTATATACCATGATCGTATCATGACCTTCAAAACATCCTGTTATTGTCTTCCTATTTCCTTATTTCTCTATTTATCAAATAGTTCAGCACGTATATATTTCCTATTGTGCTTCTCTTTTTTCTAAATCTTGTTTCGTTCTCTGGCACTGTTATCTTATTCTCCATTTCGTTTCCCAGGCTCTCTTCTAGTACCAATGTGTACTGGATCAAGGCGGAGGTGGTTAACACGTTAAGTGTCCAACCCGTTTTGCTTGCCGTTCCGTTCAAGCCCAGACTCGGCCGTCAAGTGGGCCACCGGCGGCGGGCCACCCTTCTTGGTGGAGTCACCTTTCTTTATTCTGTTTTAATATATTACATTAAGTTTTTTTAAAATATTGTATTCTTTTTCTTAAACCTTGACTGAACAAAAACCAATGTCGCCTAAGTAAAATATTCAGCCTCGCAATCAATGCGCAAGGACCGACACGCGCGCTCGTGTAATAGGAAATTCCTTGAGGACCGGCCAAGCTCGAACGAAAAGTCTATCGCCAATCCCTAGGTATTGGCGTGGCACTTAACGCGTTAAATGAAGCACTGGAGCGAAGTTGCTACTAGCGAATGTCTTGCAAGACTCTATTATGTGACTAACTGACTAGTTTAACTTTTGGTGATTGCTTGATTCTTTGTGACTCTCTGACCCTCCACTCTCGACTTTCGACTCTGTAACTCTCCACTTTGTAACTGTGTAAATACGATACTCACTCTAGAACTGTCTGACTTCGAAAAACTCGTTCTATCTCTCAGAACGAACCGTTTTAAGCTTGTCTAGAAGGCAATCTCTTTTCCTGAAGGGGAATCTCCTTCCAGGGTCAGGGGTGGAGGAGACACCACCTTCCGGATTATGCCCTCCGAAGGGTCACCCTCACAGGGACCCATCCCGAGAGGTGATCGCGATCGCGTTACCCTCGATTTACGACGGGGAAAGTCGGGGTTGCGCGAAGCTACCTCACGTGGCTTGGCCCCGACCTCCTGTGGCCCATTCGGCAGCCAGATCCCAAGTGCTCAATAGCTTAAATTAGGCTTTTGAACGACGCTTCGTGTCCGGTGATTCGAGGCAATATAAAAGTTTAACTAGAATGCGCAATAAACAAGTAAACCCCGGACCTCTAATTGCTCAGTATATAGGGCTTGACTTCTAAAAGACCGTAACAGATCTTTTAGTGCTTCATTCTAAACCGTATGCTAAAATTTTGTACATTGTATTCAACAGTGACCCTGCTCTGTAGCACTTTACAGTTTTTCCATCTTCTTTTCTTTTAATCGATACTATAATATATGTTTTCTACTCTTGTGGTATATCCATTCCATTGCATACCCTATTGCAGATCTTCCATATTTCTTTCTTCATAAGCTCTCCTCGTTATATATATATTATTACTGCAACCAGGTCCTTAGAACCGGTTTTTGTTCAGCGACGGAACAGAAACGAAAGTATTATATATATATTTGAATTGTACGAGAAACACCAGCAAAAGGCAGTGATAAATCGCATGATCACGCAGAACGAGTTGTGCGACGTATACTGGTATATGTATGTAAGGTGATTGATTCAAAGATATCTTGAATGGAAATTTTAGTAATATTAAAGTTGGAATCATTTGAAAGAATACGAGTACGTTTCTTATCTCTATGTTATTCATACATATTCATACACGTTGAATAAAGTACAGAAACACATTCCATCTACTTTTAGAAATGTATTTTTCTATTCTATTCTAGCCCAAATTGTGTACGAATAAGATTTCTATATTTGAGTTAGTTTTTCATTTTTATTTGCATTACATTTAACCATATTTGTTCGAAAGTTTTATTCGCTATAGTATTATTTATCATATTTCTATATATACAGTAAATATGTCTTACAATTTAATTCAACTTCGTTTCCATCCAATTAAAATGTATTAAATGTATCTTTATTGTGGAATTTTTGTTTAAAATTAAGTACGTCTAATTCTATTTAATTTTTTCCAGTCGCTGTTGGGAATTACTAGCAGATGCATATTTTATACGAGGCGCATATACATCAGCATTAAAAACTTATCAGAAAGCGTTAGAATTGTGTCCAGGGTCTTTATATCCAATGATACAATTAGCAAATATAAAATTGGTTAATATTATGTTTCTTAATTATTTCACATTATGATTGTAATAAATCGAAATGTAACACATTTTTTACTATTTAAAATATGTATTTCCAAATTTGTGTAAATACTTATTATTTTACAGGCTATTGGACAGTACGATAATGCAAAGGAAGACTTTGAACACATTTTGGCAGATGATTCGCATTATATTCCTGCTTTAAAAGGACTAGCTGAAGTTTGTTTTGCATTAGCCAATTATTATACTGCTAAGCAATTGTTTGGTCATGCGAATGGTTATCTACAAAAAGCTATGGATAGCTTAGCTACAGCTATTAAAGTACGTAGAGATGTATCCTGCGTTTGGAAATTACTTGGCAACGTGTACTACAAAGCTGCAACGTTACCAGAAAAATATAGTTACTTAAATATATCGTCTATTCCAGTACACCATGAAAATATCGGAAATATTGCATTAATTAAACAACGATCTATGTTTGCATTATCTATAAAGTAAGTATATTGAATCGATATTATATGTTACAATAATATTAAGTAATATTATAAAGTAATATGTATTCAGTGTGTCATGTTTCATTGGAAACGTCGTGATATCTCGGGAACTGTTACAAGTATAAAAAATTGTTTCAACAAAGTTGTTACTATGTGTGGTGGGATACATTGTTTGATGTAATTTCTCTTTTTTCATAAGTGATGTGACGGAGGAGATTTTAAGCAGTTTTCTGTAACAAAACCTTACATTTTTTTCATTCACAATATGATAGCAAGTTTTGAGACAAATTCAATGATCTACAGTATAATATAATTTCTCGTAGTAGTATGTAAGACAACATAACAGAATGATGCAGATATTATATCGACAATTTTTCAAATTCATGGAGGACATTGAACTTTGCAAATTTTTGATTTCGCGAGCATGTTTTCATTTTTATGGCCCTACAATGATAGGGGTGCAATATATTTGATATCAAAATACCGTACCGTGAAGTAAAGAGTTCAAGCTTTATTTAAGTTTTAGTAACACTTGGTTTTACTGGTTAAAAATCTACGGATAGATTCTCCCAGTAATTAGTATTATTATTCCGTGGATATATACAATATATATCCCATTCGCATATTCCCATTATTGTTTGTTAGTACAGCTTGAATTTGCAGTTTTCCTTTTTATATTCTTTGATACTTGCACTAATTACACTAAATATTTATACCCTATCGATATCAAAATCAACATGAAAATGATATTTTATATCTTCTACTCCAGTAGGACAAAAAATGTATTTCACTAATTTTCACGTATATATCGGTCACTTGGTCAATTTTCTCAAGTTTGAGTTTTTTTCCCATTTAATACGCTGTTAATCCGCACAGGATTATTAGTATAAGATTACATAAATTTACATAAGCTTACATAGGTGTATGTATAAATATCAAATATATCTAAAAAAAGTGTACATAGAAGAGGTAGTAAGCTTAATAGCGACATGAACAATACGCAGAGTGATATTACAAATAAATATTATGCTTTCTCAGAAATTATAGGTGATATACGTAGTTGAAGGAATAAAGAAGCAATCGTGCAAGGCGAGTATAACCTTTAGAGCACAATTTTCTAATCATGACCAATCTGTTACGATCATATAGAGGGCATTGCCATATAATGTGATTGAGATCTGCTATGGGTAATTTTACATTGACATGTCGTGCCAGATGCAAGACTAACTCTTCAAAGTGAGATAGTTAACTAAAAATGATTAGAATATAATCTATTGAAAAGGCAAATAAAATTTCTAGCGACAACCGTAGAAATGAATCGAGGAGTTATAGAGTACCTATAAAAATGGGAGTAATATTTGACACCTTTGTGTGTGTACTTTGTATTTGAAGCTGTCTCACAGTCTCGCTCCTTTTTGAAAATTTGATAGTAGTCAGTGTAGTTTCTTTCGCTAGAACACCGGTGTTCTCGTCGGACAAAATACCAACGTGTAGTATAATCCAATAGAAACAGAGTTTAGTATTATGCATAGCGAGGGCATAAATAATATTCAAAATATTCAGCAAAATAGGATTAAGTTTAACGTTCGAAGAAAACTTGTGAAGGTTGAAACGTATTTCAAGGATTGAGCATAAGACTTTCTATAGTAAAAATGAAGACTATTTATTCAGACTAACCGAAGATGTGATCATTAAATCTAGGGATAGGAAGGCAACACCGATATCGGCCGCCTCAAATATTCGTGGAATTGTTAATTTTATAGCTATAGGTGGCGCGTAAAGCAGCAAATTGAGTTGCTTCTATTCTGAGAACATGAGATTCTAACCTAGGAATATAAATAAAGTATCTGTATGCAATAATCGAACGAATAATAATGGCTCTTATAAAGGGTGATCGGTCAATTTCTAATCTGATACCAGAAACAGGTTTGAGTGTATTCAATTTTTGTAGGTATTTATTGTAATTAAATTCAATATGCCCTTGAAAGCGGAGTTGGTAATCAAAGATGATTCCGAAATATTTGACGTCTGGGTGAGGCTTGATTTTTTGATAAGAACCAAAGAGAACGCCTTCTTTGTTAAAATGAATGGATATAGTTCTCTCCGTGCATACAGATGGGTCAAGAAGATACAAATTATTGCTCAAATAAGTGACTGCCTTTTCAATAGATACTTTGACTATGCGAAAAATAACAGAGCATGTAGAAACGGCTATGATATCTGCAAGTTGTGATATCTAAACATTACTATCTAATTCGCCAATAATAGCTTTAACATATTTATATTAAATAGAAGACTCGGCTGAGCACTTTATCTCTGAGGAACTCTTTCAAAGATCCTTCTGTCAAGAAAATAATTGGATTGTATGACAAAATTAAGGTTTCATTCGTAAGTTAGGAAATTAACAAATTTAACAGTATTATAAAGACAACCTATATATGCCGATCAGTTTTGCAAGGAGAATATCACTTACAAGGGAACATACCGAACTGTTAATTGCCGTTTTTAATGAAATTTTGCATAATTCTAAAGTAGCCAAACATATTACACGCATATTTCTTTTTTATCTGCCACCGTTCGTGTTGAAGAAATAAAAATTGACCCCAAAGTAGGAATTGTAAAACATATTCGGTCGACTATTTTGCAAACTATTGGAGCTAGGCCAATTATGATGATTAAAGAATTTTGTATTTTTCGATGATAAATACGACTACGTGAACGGATTTACAAAAAATCCATTTCTTCAAATATAACGGGTACAAAAAGTGGTTTTTTAAATTGATTCCTCCGTCCAAATGTTTATGCATCTTTTTCAATCAATGCATAATATATAGGATGTATGCGGTCAAATATAAAATATTTGATAAAATATTGGCGTAGAAAGGCCATGATGATGTAAGAAGGAAGAAAGAAGAATGGAATATGGCGTTAACTGCTATGCTTGTGAAAAGAGAGGCCATATAGGAACCGAGTACTGTGATAAGTAAAAGTGTTTTAACTGCCAGTGATATCGGCATATTTTCACAGAGTACAAGGAAACAAAGAATTATATACATACATGCTCGAGAAAGTGAAAACTGGAGAGGCAACGGAAATGGATATGGAAAGAAGGAAGGGACAATGAATACAGCAGATGATGCTGTGACGATTGTGTGTGACAAATTAAGTCTATATGAAGAGATAAAATGTGAACAGGAAAGGCTAGTTATGCGATAACCGATATAATTTAGTTATTGGATTCTGACTTTACAAGCTATGTCAGACATAGAAGGTTTTTAGTCTTGTGATCTCGTAATGTTGCCCGTTAATATTGAGCAACTGTTTGAAGGACGTTTCATTCAACTAACTATCTACCTTCGGATGACAATCCTGGTTGCATAGATTGTTTCAGCGTAGTTCGATGTTCATGAGCAAGGTCAACGGACTACTCGAACGATGGAGAGGTGCTGCCGAGGCAATCAGTTCCCTCGAACATTAGTGATCGATCAAATAAACTTGTAGGGTAGCATCTACCGGCGACTGGCTATATCAAGGACGACTGAAAGTCAAGAGATTGAACGTGGAAAAGTCAGTAGATTAACTACTAAGTGAAAAAAGACTGACAGAAAAGTTAAAGGCCTATCCATTATGAAGTCAAATACTGACTATGGAGAAGTCAAAGACTGCCTCCGTGATTTTCTTTACGATCGTGTTGAAGAAAAACGAGAGTTTTCCAGTGGACGGACGTTCTCTAATTGGCAGATAACTGTATCAACGACGTTTCCTTGCCCTGCAAATGGGTCATTTTGAAGATGAAGGAACGTCCTGCAAATAAAGATCGTGGCGGCGGAAACCCCACTTTCAGGAAGAGGTGTATTGTTTGAGGTACACAGGGGTCAGCTGCACGTTAGTGAAAAGGTGACCGTGTCTATATCACCTTGCGTTTGTGGTATTTAACGCAACCAGCGCACAGAGATTGGCCTGAACCCTTGGAGGCCTATTGCCAGCCATGTCCCAAATGCCGTCGCTTAATTTCGTCAATAAAAGATATTGAATTACTTTCCGTTGCCGGTGACACCCAAAGCAATAAGGAGAAATTTCCTACAAATATACATTGACGACCTTGTAAACACAGAATTCTGATGGTCGAGTTATTTTAGCACTTAGGACGTGGCTGTTAGTAAGTGGTAACGGTGTTCCACCACGAAATAGTAAAAAACTGATTTCTGATGCAATAGGTGAAGTTGTAATAAAGCCGAATGAACTAGAAGGCAGGGTAAGATTAAGAAATGTGTTGTGTGTCCTAGATTTGAATATTAACTTATTGTTTGTTGTTAAACTTACTGATAATGGGTATTTGTTGTTTGGGTGGATTGATATGGTGGTAGACATGTCTCCGAAGACTGCATATGTGAGAGAATCTGAGATTAATGTGAGAAACTGTTCTGTTCAATCTCCAGTTTTTGAAAATATCTTCAATGATTACATGTGGCATTACAAGGTACACGCTCGATAGAATTACACGTTTGTTTATTCATTAATAAACAATTAATCAATTCATTAATAACGGTCTAACAGAGGTTTTTGACGTATATATTTTAGGAATGGAACGAGCACGGCCCTGAAAGAATGTTAAGAGTGTTTGGGACATAAGACGAATGACTGCCTGCGGCAGATCGATTGTAAAGGATATTTGTGACAGAGTCGAATGTGAACAACGAGCGAAAGTTTAGAAATGCGTCTGAATTGTTTGAAGTACCTGGTCCACCGAGGGCGAGGATGCGCGGGAAATGTCTAATTGAGGCAGAGAGCCTGAGCATAAAAGAAAACGGAGTGTCAGGATTAAATAAACGTGAAAGGACACGGGCGAATCAGAGTACAAAAAGTCAGAGTGTAGAGAGTTTAGAGAGTATCAGAGTGTTGTGAGAGGTCGATGAGGTGCCAGCGTGGCAATATGTATCAAAGAGTGCTTGGGAGATAGTGTTAGCGAGTGGAATTAGTTTCGCCTCATTTCTTATTTG